CTTTCTTTCTTTCTTTCTTTCTTTCTTTCTTTCTTTCTTTCTTTCTTCCGTTTCTTTCTTTTTCTCTTTCTCTTTCTTTTTTCTTCCTTCCCTACCTTCTCTCTCTTCTTTCTTTTTCTCTTTCTTTCATTCTTCCTTTCTCCCTTTCTCTCAATCTGTTTCTTTTTCTTCCTTTATCTCTTTTTCTTCCTCTTCCTTTTTCTTCCTTCCTTTTATTTCTTCCTTCCTCCCTTTTTCTTCCTTTCTTTTTTCCTCTTTCTTTCCCTTTCTTTTTTCTTCCTTCCTTCCCTTCTCTCTCTCTTATTTCTTTTTCCCTTCCTTCCTTTCTTTCAATTGTTCTTTCTCTTCCTTCCTTTTTTCTTTCTTCCATCCTTCCTTTCTCCCGTCCTCCTTCTTTTCTTTTCTTTTCTTTTCTTTTCTTTTTGTTAGGGATATACACCCTAGCAAAATGTGCAACGGTAGTCAGTCAGTCAGGCAGATATGTGAGATAAACGTTGTTGTAGCTTACACTCAGTAAAACAGATACACAGTGCTAGTTAAATAGATTTATTCCAGTAAGATTGTTAGCATAGTCAAACAGTCCATATATCATACACTTAGTTCAGTCCGTCCGGGGATTATTCATTAGCAAAGTCCAGTGTTGAAAAAGAGGTCAGTAAACTTACAAATAATCAGTCCAGTAATACATCTCTTTTTGCAGTAGAGATATGAAGAAAATCAAACCTCTTTTCTTCGTTCAGCAATAGCAGGGAAAACACACAGTTATCACTATCAATCCATCATTGTCAGCAATCCAGTAAAAGCCAGCAAACAGTGAGCTCTCTTGCTCCCTCTTATGGTGATTTTACAACCGCACCCAAAATACATGGTCTTCATTTAAAGTGATACACACAATCATAGTCTATATATATTATTTTACCCAAACTAAGTTAGGTAACCATGTTATCCCTAACATTCTCCCCTTTTGGGTAATATAATAATATATATATATATATATATTTACAACTTTAAACCATAGTTTTCACAACTTTCCTTGTGCTTTACTGCACCTTGGGCTTTTGTAAACTGATCAGCCAAATTTTCTTCAGTTATGCAATATTCCAGACTTATTAAACCATTTTTTACAGATTGCCTTACATTCAAATATCTAAGATCAGTATGCTTAGATCTCGTTTTTACAGCAATATTTGTAGCCAACCGTATGGCTGCTTGATTGTCCTCATACACTACAATGGCATCATTAACAGTTATTCCCATATCTAATAACAACTGTTTATACAGAATTAAATCAGTACATAATAAAGATAGACATGAAAATTCTGCTTCCATTGTGGACATACTTATGTGTTGCTGTCTAATTGACCTCCAACCAATCAGTGCTTTTCCTAATAGTATAGCCATACCTGAAGTTGATTTCCTAGTGTTTATGTCTGTTGCAAAACTTGCATCAGCATATGCACGTAAAATCAGATCATCTTTTGGCTCCAAATACAATGCATAGTGCATTGTCTTTTTAAGATACCTTAATATACGCTTTAGCACTTGCCAGTGACGTTCAGTGGGTTCAGCGTTGAATCTTGCCAATTGATTAACGCCATATGCAATGTCTGGCCTTGACCAATTACTAATATACGATAAACTACCAATTAATGACTGATAAATAGTCTTATCGAATTTTGAACTTTGAGCATCAGTTCGGCAAAATTCCTGACTCATTGGAGTTTTTGCCGGCTTACAAAGTTCCATTTTATACGTTTTTAGCAATTGGTAAATTTTATCTTCTTGAGATATCTTAAAGCCACTCTTGGTTTTGTTTATTGTCAATCCTAAATACTGTCTTATCTCTCCTAACTGCTTTAATTTTATCCTCTTACTTAATAATGATATTATTTCAGTAGCTTCATTATTAGTCTTTGTAATTAAAGCAATATCATCTGTAAACAACAATAATAATGACACCGTTCCATTTGTCTCTTTCTTAAATAAACATGGATCAGCTAAACCTGCTTTAAACCCTATATTGTTTAACTCCTTAACAATATATTGGTTCCATTCATAACCAGATTGCTTTAATCCATAGAGACTCTTTTTAAGTTTCCAACAGTCATTATTAGTTTTATTATCCTTAATTCCTACAGGTTTCTTTAAATATATAGTGTGCTGCAATGGTGCATGCAGATAGGCAGTTTCTACATCTAAGTGATTTATAATATAATTCTTCTTAGCTGCCCACACTAAAGCTGCTCTCAAGGTTGTTGCCTTTAAATTCGGTGCAAATACTTCATCATAATCATATGCAGTTTGATTAAATCCTTGAGCTACCAACCTAGCCTTATGGGTAACAGTCCCATTTTTACCAGTTTTTAATTTAAATATCCATTTGCAGCCAATGGACTTTTCACCTGGAGGTAATTTGGCATTTTCATAAACTTTCATTTCCTTTAATGAATTTAGTTCCTTCTCCATTGCCTTATGCCAATTTTCCTGTTCCTTTGCAGGATACATCCTAAGTTCTTCAACAGTAGTTGGAACTTTACTAACTTGGCAAACTACACTTGCTTGGTAGCTGTCAGGTGGTCTGGTTACACGTGTAGAACGTCTAGGTATTACAGGGCTTACAGGTGGACTTTCATGTTCTACCTGTTCCTGGTTATCTATTTCTTCCTTTTCTGGTATTTCTTCCTGTTCTGGTCCTATATGCTCTTCCTGTACTTCCTCTTTAATTGCGCTCTTCTTATTACTGATTTGATCTTTTGGTCTTTTGTAGGTTTCTATAATTACTTCCTTACTTGAATCTTGTTCCAGTTTTTCCCATCCTACATGTTCTAGGAATTGTGCACTAGCACTACAGTAAACTCTAGATGTACCTTTTTCCCAGAATCTGTATGATTTGTGATTAGATTCATAACCTACAAAGAATAACCTTTTAGCCCTATGCTGCCCTTTTTGTCTCAGTTGTGTAGGGATATGCACCCATGCTGGTGCTCCAAATGTGTGCATGTAGCTTAGGTCAGGTTTTCTGCCATGCCACTGTGTGAATGGTAATTCACCTGTTGTTGAGTTAACAATATTATTCAATATATGATTACCACACATTACTGCTTCTCCCCACAAAGTTTCAGGTAATCCTGAATCTGACAGCATAGTACGAGCCATTGCTTGTATTGTTTGGCTCGTCTTTCTATAAAGGCATTATGTTGTGGCCTATATGGTGCAGATTTTTTATGTTCAACACCTGCCATCTTCAGTCTGTTTTGGAATTTATTGTTTATAAATTCCGTACCATTATCAGTTATAAGAGTTACTAATTTCCTTTTAGTTTTTCTTTCTGCAAATTTAAGCCAATTAAAGAAATTTTGATATGTTTCTGTTTTGCTCTTCATTAGATAACAGAAACCATATCTGGAATAATGGTCCATTATACTTAGTATATAATGAGCACCTCCCACACTTGGTTTTTTAGGACCTATAATATCAGCAAATACGACCTCTAGAGGCTTCTTTGTCTTAAATCCATTTAATCTATTTGCTGGTATTACCTTGCTTTTTTCTTGACTACAAGTATTGCAGTGCAAATACTTACTGCAAGGCTTCAGTTTTATACCTTTAGATAGTTCTACCGTTTGTTTGAGCATTTTAAAATTTATATGCCCTAAACGTCTGTGTAACTCATCATGAGGTTTAACATTATTATAAACTGTGTTAGCTACCTCTAATGAATTATCATTTAACACATACAATTCACCTTTTAAAGTTGCAGTCACTTTTTTACCTTCTTTTTCTATTATGCAACTTTCTCCCTTAAAGGTAATTACATAACCTAGTTTAACCAAAACTCTAACCGAAAGCAAATTAAACTTAAGTTGTGGTACATATAACATTTTTACATTTTCTTTTATGCAAGAACAATATGCTATACCTTCACCTTTAGCTTTCAGTTTCCAGCCATTAGCTAACAATATCTGCTGTGAACTCGTGGACATCTTAACAAACCTTTTCTTATCTTTCATTATGCAGTGCGATGCTGCACTATCTACAACCCATAAATTATTATTCACAGTTTCGTTGCTATACATGGCTAACTCTATGCATTTTTTATCCTTTTGATGCCTTTTAGCATTTTGGCTGGCATTTTGGCTTTTTGCTTTCTTGCAGAATCTAGCCAAATGTCCTTTTCCTCCACAATTAAAACATTTTCTAATTGTATAAGCTGACGAAGATTCTTTCTCTTCTTCACATTGTGGTTGTTCCCTTCTGAGTTGATCCCTTTCAAGCCTTCTCCTGGCTTCTTCAATTAATCTGCCAGTAATGTCAGTTAATGTAAGATTATCTTTTGGCAGAACTTCAAGTGAAGTTACATAGTCATCATAGCTCTCATCTAACGAAGACAAAATTATATAAACTTGATGTAGTTCTGTGAAGATAAGTTCTTTTTCATGCAGGTCCTGAAAAATTCTCTTCATAGTGTTTATATGACTCAGCATGTCTCCATTCTTTTGAAGATGTGTTCTAAACAGCTTTCGTGTAAGATTTATATGTGCTCCTACACTGTCTCGAACATAAATCTTCTTTAAATTCTCCCAACATTTTGCAGCTGTTTCTTCTCCGCGAATATGGACAAGCTGCTGGTCAGAGAGTGTCAGTCCTATTATACAGAGAGCTTGCTCATTCTTCAGTTTATATTCTTGTATTTTCTGGGCATCATCCTCATCCTCCGGATCCCATGCATCTACCTCTGGTGGGTTTTGAATTATATTCCACAAACCTTCTCTGCGTAGAAGTAGGCTGCATTTCATAGACCATGAAACATAGTTTGTTCCATCCAGTTTGGATATTAGAGACAAACTTGGTAAATTGACTTGTGCCATCTTTTTCTGGATATTAAACTATAATTAATAAAACACAGCTGTCTGTTTACAGTATTGTGTAACTACACAAACTCTCACTTTATATAAGCCTGTTATAACCTGGTTAGTCTGACTGTGCAGCTGGGCCCATAACCAGTGTTAGGGATATACACCCTAGCAAAATGTGCAACGGTAGTCAGTCAGTCAGGCAGATATGTGAGATAAACGTTGTTGTAGCTTACACTCAGTAAAACAGATACACAGTGCTAGTTAAATAGATTTATTCCAGTAAGATTGTTAGCATAGTCAAACAGTCCATATATCATACACTTAGTTCAGTCCGTCCGGGGATTATTCATTAGCAAAGTCCAGTGTTGAAAAAGAGGTCAGTAAACTTACAAATAATCAGTCCAGTAATATATCTCTTTTTGCAGTAGAGATATGAAGAAAATCAAACCTCTTTTCTTCGTTCAGCAATAGCAGGGAAAACACACAGTTATCACTATCAATCCATCATTGTCAGCAATCCAGTAAAAGCCAGCAAACAGTGAGCTCTCTTGCTCCCTCTTATGGTGATTTTACAACCGCACCCAAAATACATGGTCTGCATTTAAAGTGATACACACAATCATAGTCTATATATATTATTTTACCCAAACTAAGTTAGGTAACCATGTTATCCCTAACACTTTTCTTTTCTTTAACTGTAGCACTTCCTGATACAGGATCAGAATTGCGTTAACACAGGACATAAATTGATACAGTGGGAGGGACCTCAGCGGTCTTCTATAGATCAATAGTAGATCAATAGGTACCACTTTGGTGGGAAGGTACAGTAACAGCACTCCATGACATCATGCTGGCCACATGACCGTGGAAATATCTTCGGACAGCACTGGCTCAATGGCCTTGAAACAGAGATGCCCACTGCCCACTACAATTGGCAACAAGTAGTGAAGTAAAATCCACAGGGATATTTTTTTTACATTTTTTTAACCTTCGACTTCCCATTAATTTCCTTTTGTTTGGGCCAAATCCTATGTCCAATTAACAGACACTCAGGGGTGTTACATCCCTGGATCAATCAGTATAAAAGCCCCACAATCCAATTGTTTTGAAACTTCAACCGAGGAAGACTCCTTAACTAAAAATATATTTCCCCCCTCTATTTCTCCTTTTTGCAGGATATTGATGGACAAGCCCTTCTCCTGCTGACGCTCCCAACCGTCCAGGAATGCATGGAATTGAAGCTTGGCCCAGCCATCAAACTGTGCCACCAGATTGAACGGGTGAAGCTGGCTTTTTATGCACAATATGCCAACTGACAACTACCCTCCGCAGATTTTCTGTCTCTGCTTTCTTACTTTTTTAGGGCCTTGCCTGCAATTCCCTTTTTCCTCAGTGCTTGGTATTTGGAAACATGGACCCCTCTGTGCATGCATAGAAGTGCCCACACAATGAACCAAATTAAGATCCTGAGCTGAAGCCGGAAATATTTTAAGGTGATAGGCACCCATAAACGATCAAGAAGTGATACAGGCACACCACCCGCTCTGAAGAAAAGAAAAGTTTGAAATTCACCAAAGCTTGGGAGATTAACTCGTGCTTCAGGTTATCAGTCATCCTGACCTCAAAAAAACAACATTGGCATTTTCACTCAACGTATGTGTCAGGATTCCGGAATTTACCCCAATTAATTCATGAGTCTCAAGCAAAACTTCAAAAGGATTTATTGGGAGTTAACATGTCCGGCATTGCCTGGGTGCAGCCGACTCTGAGACACATCATTCATTGTCACCCTTGACCCTGGTTTCCCCCCACACACACACCCTTCTGGGTGTATCGTAATCCATATTCTCCAATGGGACACCTCCATAGCCCAGAGTCATCAGTCATGCTCTCCAGCTAGAATTTTGTGCAGCAGAAACTTCAGTCCCCTAGTTACTATCTTTGAAAACTATTTATGGAATGCACTTTTGATTTCCAAGCTGCCGCTTTCCCCCCTTTCTTTCTGTTGGCAACTCTAAAAAGAATAGAATGCCAATAGAAATATTTTATGAGTTGGCAGTAGGCAGAAATAATTGACTTCTTCAACCAAATCTTCATCAGACATCCCTGAAATTCTGCAAGGTTTGGCCATTTTGACAAATGGAAGAGGGGCCTGAGGAAGTAACAGAATAATAGATTTGGAAGGAACCTTGGAGGTCTAGTCCAGCCCCCTACTCAAGCAGGAGACCCCAGCCTAACCCATTTCAGCAAATGTTTGTTCACTCTCTTTCTGAAAGCCTCCAGCCATGGAGCGTCCACAACGGTTGAAAGCAATCAGGGTGGAGTTTTAAGGATGCCTTAAAAATTAATTTGAGGGGAAAATTAAGGACTCAAATACAGTTTGTGTTTTAGTTTTTTTTTGATAGGGATGTTAACTTTATACAGAGAGGGAAACAAGCTGCAAGAAAGGAGGCATTTGTCCTATTTGAGCTGGATAGAAGGATGTGAACTTCAACTCCCAGAATTCTCAGCTACCTTGACCGGAGACTTAATGGGATTTAAAACTTGACGTGGAATACTTGGAGTGATGCAGTGGCTTATTAAAATCTAATGCAAAGATGCATTATTATTATTATTTTCTGTGCCTAGAATTGCACTTTTACTCTGCTTGTGGATCTTTGTTTTAAATACCTTTGAAAACCCCAGGCAGCATGGTTGCTGACATGAAGAATTGGTTGGGCTTAAATTTTCTGGCTTTTTAAAAAAAAACTGTAAGCATGAAGGCACGGGCTGGTTTAGGACAGTTTTCTAAATGAAAAGAAAAAGAAAAGCAAGTTGTTCATTTTATCACGTAACAACTTAAATGTGCAGTTAAAAACTGTTTTTTTTTATTCTTTGTACATGATTCTATATCTGTAAATAGAGAGACACAAATCTATCTGATATGATATCATGTAAATAAAGGGGAAGGTCTGTATATTCAGAGTTATATTTTAATTTTTATGCAGACCGAATTTTTACTTGGAAGAGGCATAAGCTGAGTTGTTAATAAAGTCCTTCAAAGGCATCTGTGTTCCTTATACTTTTTTCTTTCCCCATTGTCTTCTTCCCTTCATTACTATATGTGTGTGTGTATGTATGTGTGTGTGTGTGTGTGTGTGTATGTATGTATGTATGTATGTATGTATGGCATTCAGCTTTGTTCGGGTATTTTCCCACGTCATTGTAGTTGTGCTTTTAAAGTTGTAGCAACGTTTCAGCAGAATCTCATCTGCCATCATCAGGCTTCTGTATAATGTTCATCTGTGAGTCAGACTTTTACAGTGGTTTCAGATTTAGATTTGGGGCAGCCTATTGCTGTGCCAGAATGGTTTTTTCTTCATCCTGATTGGTTGGGAGTCTTGGTCTGTGTTTATTGGTCTTGGAGTTTGCTGTGTTCTGCTTGATTGGTGTTTCTAATATCTTCTGTCTGTTTTTTGGCTCTTTTTGTATCTTGATTGGCTGGCAACATTGTGTTACTTTATTGGAGGCCTTTTGTGCAGCTTGGCTCCGGGTAAATGGACGGCTATCATTAGTTAGGAAGCTAGGTTTCGTCTGGGTGCCTGGTTGGGGTGTGCTTGAGCTGGACGTATCAGGGGGGATCTGTTTGTGCCCAGGTGCTTGTCTGGCTAGTGGTGTGGAGATTTTTTTGTTTGTGAGTGCAGGCTTCCAAATGATTGACAGTCTGATGGAATCATCTCTTCTATTCATGCTTTCTGGTCTTTTTTCAATCTCTATGGCTTCTCTGATGATTCTGTGGCTGGGGTTTTCTATAGTGGCTAGGGTTTTGGTGCCATTGAAGTCGATGCTATGACCTGTGGCTTTCATGTGTTGGACTAGTGAGGAAGTGTGTTCCAGCTTTTTTACTGCATTTTTGTGTTCATCTAGGTGGGTACTTATTCTTCTATTGGTCTGTCCAATGTATGTGGCCGGGCATGATGCACAGGGGACTTCGTATATGCCTTGGTTTTCCAGGTCAATTTTATCTTTGGGGTTTCTAAGGATGGCTGCTATTTTTCTGTCTGTTTTGAAGGCAGTCT